ATTTTATTTGGGAAATTAATCAAATTTTAATTCCTAAATTAAATAGTTAATTAATTGATTATTTAATATACATTGTTGGCCAATTAAAGAATGCCACATGTATATTTTAAATGCCAATTAAAGAATGTCACATGTCATTTTCTTGGAGAGTAAAATAAATAATTATTTCTTTTAATAATTATTAAAGAGATAATTAAGTGGAAATTCATGGACCAATCAAGTTGAAGTCTTCTTTTCCAAGACTCTCTCTCCTAATTATCTCTTTAAATAATTATTAAGAGATAAATATTGGAAATTATGGACCAATCAAATTGAAGTCTTCTTTTCCAAGACTCTCTCTCCTAAAACCTATAAATAGGGACCCTCCCTAAGGTGGAAAAAAACACAATTCATATTCAAGTTTCAAGTTCCAAGAGCTCTACAGAATTCTTTCAACGAAATTCAAGTGTTCTTGAAGATCCAAAGACGTTCTTGAAGATCCGAAGGAAGATTCAAGAGCGTTCAAGTCCAAGACTGACGTTCAATCCGGAAACAAGCTGTCAAGCCTCCGAATTGCGTTATTCAAGTTCAAGTGTTTTGAAGATCCAAAGGCGTTCTTGAAGATCTGAAGGAAGATTCAAGCGCGTTCAAGCCCAAAACTGACGTTCAATCCGGAAACAAGCTGCCAAGCCTCCGAATTACGTTATTGAAGTCAAGACCGACGTAAACAAGATCAAAATCAACTTTGCGGCGAAGACCAAGGAATCGTGTTCATCACGTTCTTGGGAAATCACAACGTTCGATTCGAGATCAAGCTGTCAAGCCCTCGAAGAAACGTTACTTAAATCCAAATTCAAGACCGACGGAGACCAAACTGAAGATTAGTCTCCAAAAGTCTCATATCCATTTGAAGATTGTTCTTGAAGAAATTAATCAGAGGAATAATAGAGATTTGTAATCCACTATATTTCATTTGATCCGTTGATAATCATTTGTACAAATTTCTCGTGTTTATTAATTCAATAATACGAAATTTTGTGTTATAAATTTCTGGCACGCCCGGTGGGACCATCTCTACCTCTCATCTCTTTTCTTCAAGATATCTAAGTGCAACGATGACTCCTCCCAAGTCAACTTTTTCAAGTTATGCAAGCGA